GTAGAAAAAAGCATTTGACAAAATCTTTTATGATTAAAACAGTCAACAAACTAGATTTGAAGGGGAACCCCCAAATCCTGAGAAAGGACTAAATTGAAGGCAGTACAAACAGAATCCCAATTTAACAAATATCAATCCATCTAGCCTCTCGTTGGCTGAGAACTGTGCTCCAGCAAGTGTCCAAACTCATGCTGTTTTACTTTTGAAGTTTTAATGAATTCATATTCCAGGAAAAGCCCTGTATATCAGACACTTTTACAAATGCTGACCCAACTCACGGTTGGCTTACTTAACAAATCTATTTTTGTTTAGGTGAAATGTGTTTATATAGCAATTGGAGTTTTAAAAATAGCAATTGGGTTTTAATGTTAACTCATATTTAGTTCTTGTTAGAAAATCTGACAGGCTTTTCAAAATACATTGGTGAGGGACTTCCATGGTGGCACAGTGGTTAAGAATCCACCTGCTAATGCAGGGGACATGGGTTTGATCCCTGGTCCGGGAAGACCCCACATGCCGCGGAGCAACTAAGCCCGTGCACCACAACTGCTGAGCCCACGTGCCACAACTATTGAAGCCCACGCGCCTAGAGCCCGTGGGCTCTAGAGAAGCCACTGCAGTGAGAAGCCCGTGCACCGCAACAAAGAGTAGCCCCCGCTCGCTGCAACTAGAGAAAGCCCGTGTGCAGCAACAAAGACCCAATGCAGCCAAAAATAAATAAAATTAAATATATATATACATTGGTAAGTTGGGGAAGGGAGGATTTTATGTCAGCACACACAGGTCAGGAACCAGGGCATGTTGGCTAGATGCTGCTTTCAACCCCAGATCTGATTCTAGTTTTCACTAGGTAACAAGTGATCACTAGAGGGTCAGGTCCTTGGGAAAAGCACAAAGATAAACGAAGTCCTTGCAATTCTCAGGCGGTGACCACTCAGCCCTTTTCAGGTGGCTGAGGCACTGAGGGGCCAGAGTCCGTGAAGAGATGGGGAGAACGTGACCACATGGAGTGGGGAGCACAGGGGGCTTGGGGTATGGATCAGCCACTGCAGACCACGTGCTTCCGGTGTCCTGGGAACCACCAGGTGAGGTCACACTGCCGCCTCCCTAGGAAGCAAGGGCTACAGGAACTTGGCATTAGGAGAACTGTCCTATTCGGTGAGAGGGGACCTAGCCCTGTTCTCAGGGGGCTGAAGTGGACTCTCCTCCGGGTCTCCGTCTCCTCCCATCTTAAGTAAGAGGTACCCTTTCCCAGGGCCTCACAGCACCAGGCACTGAGGACCTGCGCCACCTCTGGTGAGGCAGCCAACAGGCACCAGCAGGGGCTGGAGTTAGACCTGCTCTCCTAAGCCTGAGGTTGGGTTCGCAGGGGCGAGGGCTGGGCACCTGCATGGCCAATGCAGCACGCTCCAGCTCCCTCCCAGGCCCCTGTGGATCCCCCCGTGGGAGGATGCCTGGGTTTGCTTATCAGGATCCTGCTGCCTGGCCTGGCTCTTGTGGTGGTCAGCATCACACTGGCTGCTACAGCACCTGGGAGCATTCCCACTTCTTAAAAACTTCTGCTCCTTGGGCTTCCCTGGTGGCGCAGGGGTTGAGAATCTGCCTGCCGATGCAGGGGACACAGGTTCGTGCCCCGGTCCGGGAAGATCCCACATGCCGCGGAGCGGCTGGGCCCGTGAGCCATGGCCGCTGAGCCTGCGCGTCCGGAGCCTGTGC